TAAATATCACTCTTCAAATGATATCCCCAAAATGTCAAACCAAATATATAGGGTTGCTACGCAACCCAAAAATTAGCTTGCCAGCTGCCTGCCTGGATGTTCCTGCTGAACTTGTGACACGAGGTTCCAAATCCAACTGCCGTCAAACCAGCGCCTTACACATCAGCGGCGACGTGACTGTTCAGAGAGCGCCGCGTGGAACGAGGCAATCCCAACGCCTGGCTAACCCCAAGCCGTGAATTTCTTAGGGGGCTCCCCTCAAAGGATGTCCGATTAGTGCTGTTTTTTACTCGACCATTATCAACCTCACTGAACCGTGATCAAATTTACGTTTCAGACTTGCCTCGTTAGCTGTTTACTTTGCTAACCCCGGCCCCACAAGGATTCGTTCCCCTGCGCTAGGCACAGCCACTCCCAGATATCGGAGTACAGTATCTCAGCCTATAGGCTAGACTGAGCCTATAGGTAACGAAGGACCTGAATTATCCACAAAATTTCACGTGTGACGAGTCTGACGGCCTTGCTTCGTAGTCGATTGATAACCTGAAGCTTACTGCTCTACGCCGTGCTGTCGGCATTTTCGACATCAAAGAATCCATGAAAGCGCAGAAATTGCCGTTGTTGTGAGCTGCTCATCTTAGGATCGTAAACACCTTAGTCGGCAATAGTATACTTGCTATTGCTTATCGTGTTCTCCACGATCTCACGAATCCAATGATATGCGCAGCTCTGCTTGAAGTTGTCAATACACACTTCAGCAATTTTCAGAATCTCAAAGTTTCAATGTTGTCCAATGTTGTCTTTCCAGAATGAGTACAAACAGGTTTATAGTCAGGCAAGACACAAAATGCGATTCGTAACTTCACTTGTTTCCCAAGTAACCGCGTGCGCCTTGTTTCACCCCGAGTCGCACACGCAACCGAACCGAATTCACCGAACACTCCTTGAGCCCGAATCTGGAAATTTCTCGAACACGCCTTGGTCTCGAACCACATTTTCCCCCGTCGAACTCATTCTCGATTCTTCTCCACTCTTCTTCCTTCATTTCTCCAGTTTCTTCCCGATTTCTCTCCCGCTTTTCACGCCTTAGCTTCCAACGTCCACCGTAGGCCGATTTCTACCGAAATCACTCTAGAATCTCCCACGAGCTCCATTCCGCCGCCATTCCGCATTTCACCGTAGGTTCCGTGGTTCGTCGAACCAACCCTAACAATCTCCCCTGTGGTTCGTCAACCACGAACTCCACTCGCACTCCTCCCCTGCTCCTTGTAGCCTTCACAGGGTCTAGGTCGGCTTCACACTCCCCTGCAGCTCCTGCACCTTGAACCTCTGCTTATGTGTCTTGAAGTTGAGCGCCTTGACATCCAAACCTTGAGAGATTTTCTTGATCCTCTCGCTGCTCCTCGGCATCTCAACACGCAACATCTCTCGGGTCTCATACCCCTCAACGTGTTCCTCTTTCGTAAGCACTCTACCCTTTGCAGTTGCAGTGACTATCTCCTCTTCCTGCTTCTCTGCTGCCTCCACACTTGCTCCCGTATCATCCGTGTCCTCGCTCTTATCAGCCTCATTCGATAACTCCTCCAATTCTCCCATCTCAGGATACTCTCGGTCCTCATAGAACTCATCTATGCCCTTCATCGCGACCAAGTTCATCTCATAGAACCCGTCACTGAAGTAACCATCAGCATACTTCTCCCACTCAGGACCAAACACAGTCACCTCATAACTGTCATAGAATATCTTGCACCCCAAGTCATCAAGCTGTGATTGACTGACCAAGTTCACCTTTAAATCCTCAACCAGCAGCACACTCTCCAGTTTCACCTCTCCATACGGACTCTGCAGCACCACGTCACCCTCTCCTGTCACTGGCAACTTCACACTGTTACCTTGCAGTATATAATCCTCACTCGACTCCCTCACGTTCTCCATCCAATCTGACCTGAATGTCATGTGACGCGTGCATCCGCTGTCCATGAACCATGCCGTCTTCTCACGTCCGTCCGTCTGACGAACATCCTTCGGTAAACGCACCACGTTCGCACGATGCGCTCCTCCCAAAATCACATCCTCCTTTTCGGCTTCCGCTAAATTCGCCTTACCCGCCACAATCCTCTGCTGCGACGGACCCTTGTAGCTCCTGCTGTTCGGATTGGAGTAGCACTCTGCGGCACGATGTCCGTAGCGCCCACAATAATCACACTTGCCGCCAAAACCTCGTTTCTGTTGCCACTCTGCTCCCCCATTTTCTCCTTTCTCGTTCTCCACCGCTTTGCCCTTGTAGTTTCTGCTTCGCGGATTTTCGTAGCAGTTTATCGCCTTATGCCCCCTCTTTCCACACTGGTAGCACGCTCCAAACGCCTTCATTGCATTCACCATAGCCGGCCTTTCCTCGTCGAATTCCTTAGCTGCTGCTGCCGCTTTCTTTTTCCTCATCCCCTTCATCGTCTCAAGCGACTGTAGAATCTCCTGCAGCTTCGTCAAACTCTCCGGCGGTTGGTACGTAAACATACCGATGTCGGATTCCCACTCCTTAGGAAGGCCTTGGATGATATAGTCAATCATCTCATGCTCCGTCTCCGCGGCTCCCATCACCCGCAAATCGTCGTTGTAGCTTTTCGCCCTGTTGATGTAGGTGATGATTTTCTCGCCTTTCTCCATGCTCAGCATCAGCAGCTGCTTCCTGATCGCCTTCTTGTTGACATCGTTGGTGCCCATGTACGTGGACTCCAGGTACTCCCATGCTTTCTGTGCAGAGTTCAGCTCCCCTGCAAACTGGTCCAAATCCACCGCGATTCCATCGGCAACTGAGTGACAAAGCTGAAAGAACGCTTGCTTACTTTGTTTTTTGAACGCCGCTATTTTCTCCTTCGTATCCGTCGGGGATGGCGCAACTCCCTCCATCGTCTCCTCGTCGGGACGGTAGTACGGCAAGAGGTCCACCTCCTCTGCCCTTCGAATGAACTTCTTTCGCCACACGTTGTAGTTGCTTCCGTTGAAGCGCTGGGCTTCACTGAGCCCGATCGTCGGTTTCGCCACCAATCGGCCACTCGCAAGGGCCTCGAGAAGAGCCTTCAACTGCGGGTCTCCAAGACTCACACTGGAACCCGAACTCGCCTCGTCTCCCATAGCGTAGGCGTGAACGACTCCTCTTCTCCACTAATTTCACTTAGCGCACCAAGTGAATTCGCGACGATCGACGAGCCCGTTCGTCAACCTCTGATACCAGTTCTTAGGATCGTAAACACCTTAGTCGGCAATAGTCTACTTGCTATTGCTTATCGTGTTCTCCACGATCTCACGAATCCAATGATATGCGCAGCTCTGCTTGAAGTTGTCAATACACACTTCAGCAATTTTCAGAATCTCAAAGTTTCAATGTTGTCCAATGTTGTCTTTCCAGAATGAGTACAAACAGGTTTATAGTCAGGCAAGACACAAAATGCGATTCGTAACTTCACTTGTTTCCCAAGTAACCGCGTGCGCCTTGTTTCACCCCGAGTCGCACACGCAACCGAACCGAATTCACCGAACACTCCTTGAGCCCGAATCTGGAAATTTCTCGAACACGCCTTGGTCTCGAACCACATTTTCCCCCGTCGAACTCATTCTCGATTCTTCTCCACTCTTCTTCCTTCATTTCTCCAGTTTCTTCCCGATTTCTCTCCCGCTTTTCACGCCTTAGCTTCCAACGTCCACCGTAGGCCGATTTCTACCGAAATCACTCTAGAATCTCCCACGAGCTCCATTCCGCCGCCATTCCGCATTTCACCGTAGGTTCCGTGGTTCGTCGAACCAACCCTAACAGCTCAAAGCAAAACAATTCTCTAGTGATCCAGATTTGAGTTGGCTTCGGGAGGTACGGCGATATGAGGCCGGTCGTTGCGCCGCATCAAGCGCTACTCGCCGGCAGTAGGACCAACCTCGCTGCCGCCTCCGCAACCACTTCCGCCTGTGCCTCCGCCTGCGCGTCTGCTGCTTCCGCTTCCGCCTCCGCGTCGATTTCCGCCTGCGCCAGCGCGGCTTCCGCATCCGTTTCCGCAGGCGCCGTTTCCCCCCGCAGGAGGAGCGGATCGTACGCTAGAGCCGTCCGATCTCCCACGAGGGCTGTCCGAGCCGGCAGATCTCCCGCGATTCCCGGCGCTGATTGCGGCGGCCCGATGTATCGTCTCGCTGCCGCAGCAGTGGCAGCTACAGCAGCCTCAGCGCGTAGACACTCCGCTACAGCCGTTAGAACAGCTACAGCGGCCGGTACGGATACAGTCGCCAGAGCAGCTACAGCTGCTATAACCACTAGAGCGGCTACAGCCGCTACAGCGCCCACATGCATTGAATCAGCTTCAGCAACTACAGCCGGTACGGACCAGGCATCCCGATTTGCCTGGAACAGACTGGCTGTAGCGCAACGCGATGTGAGCTGTAACGCAACAGTTTTCCCAGTTTCCCAGCCGGCTGTAGCTCGTTCAATTGTTCCCCAGCCGTCTGTAGCTCGTTCGATTGTCCCCCAGCCAGCTGTAGCTCAACCAAATGTAAGTCGAAGGATCACGCCTGTAGCGGCTGCCACGTCACTGGGTGCTTCTTATTCGTCCACGTTGCTCAACGGCAGCAGCACCAACAGCATCAGCAGGAGTAGTAGCGGCATCAGCAGGAGTAGTAGCGGCAGCAGCAGATGCTTCGCGGCTGGATTCACGAGGAGTGTTCTCTGCAGGAAAGGCGTTGGCGGCGGCGGTGGTGGTGGTGGTGGCGGTGGCAGCAGCAGTGCCCTCATTGGTAGCAACGGCAGCAGAACAGCAAGCAGTAAGGGTGGGAGACAAATTACCAGGCTCGTACAGGCCGCCGCTGGTAACGCAGCGGCTAAAAGCGGAGCGGGTAAAAGCGGAGCAGGCTCTTTGAGTGAGAGGGTGAGGAAAGGCGCTCTGGTGGAGTTTGAAAAGGAGCAGCAGAGACACGTGGTGGGGGTGGTGATGCGACCGGAAGGGAAGAAAAACTGGATCGTTATGGACCAGGTACGTACGCGTTATAAGCATGGAACAGATTCTTGGTTGACTCAAAAGCGGGTTCGTTGAGTGAGAGGGTGAGGAAAGGAGCTCTGGTGGAGTTCGAAAAGGAGCAGCAGAGACACGTGGTGGGGGTGGTGATGCGACCGGAAGGGAAGAAGAACTGGATTGTCATGGACCAGGTACGTACGCGTTATTGGCATGAAATGGAATTTGGAATGCTGAGATACTTATGTAGTGCTGTGTTATTTCAAGGTCAACTTGGACTCAAATGTTAAAGACGTGAATTTCACGAGGGGAGGAATCGCAATGAGCGTTGCCTCTCGTCCTCTCTCCTCCCTTCGCTTTCCTTCACTTCCACTCATCCTTTGTTTCTCGCCTCCCTCATCCCTTCCTTTCCACCATGCATGAGACACTTTTGGAGGCATCACATATTCTAACATTTTCCTCCTCAGCTGTTTCCCTCCTTTCCTCCCTGCTACTCAATCGCAGAACGGCAACACCTTTTCGGTGAGGCCGCAGCAGCTGACATTCGTGGAAGTGGGGGAGGAGGATTTCAATGCTGCCGATCTCTCCTCCTTCCTCTCCTCCGTCGACTCATTAACGGTTAGTCCATCGTCTCTCTTGGGGATTTCAATGCTGCCGATCTACCTTCCTTCCTCCCATCTGTTGACTCACTAACGTTCAGAGACCCAACACTCCGCTATTGTGCAAACCTCTCAAGTTTCGACACTTCTAAACTCCCTTTTATACACCATTTGAGCGACAATGTTTCGAGGAGGTCTCAGAGCTCTTCTTGCATTGCTCTTAGTTTGTCGGTTTTAAAGCTTTTTGAGAATGACAGACATTGACATGACAGGAGCAGCAAAGTGACGCTACAAGAGAGTGACAACAGAAAAGCGTAGCAATCCTGTGCCATTTTTCCGTTTCCTCTCCCTTATAGCAGTCTGTGCTATTTCGCTACTCCTTTCCAGTTCCAATTCAGTCCCTACCCACTAAACCCGAAACCCCAAAACCTAAACTCTGCCTGCCTTTTCAACCACCAGGCTGATGCATCCCTCCTGGAGATGGTGTGGGAGATGGTTCTCTCAGAGCAGCCCACAGTCACGACATAGGATGATGCCCTGTCACGTGTTCTGCGCTGTATTCCCCGCCCATCCTCTCAACCACCAGGCTGATGCATCCCTCCTGGAGATGGTGTGGGAGATGTTTCTTTCAGAGCAGCCCACAGTCACGACTCAGGGAATGTCCCGCCACGTGTATTCTCAAAAGCGACTCACATATTGTATCCTATCCCTGCCCGCTCCTCTCAACCACCAGGCTGATGCATCCCTCCTGGAGATGGTGTGGGAGATGTTCCTTTCAGAGCAGCCCACAGTCACAACACAGGAATTTGCAGAGGTAACCGCCACGCATTCACCTTGCTCTGCCCTCATACTCGCTATAAGCATGTTTCTTCATTCGGCCCAAAGTCATCCTCATCTTCACCCTCAACCTCAACCTCACACCTCACCCTCACACCTCACCCTCACACCTCACCCTCACACCTCACCCTCACACCTCACCCTCACACCTCACCCTCACACCTCACCCTCACACCTCACCCTCACACCTCACCCTCACACCTCACCCTCACCCTCAACCTCACACCTCACCCTCTACCTGTCAGATCGCGTTTGGGGAGGCTGAGGATCCGCTAGTGCCGCACTTTGCCGCCCACCGAATGCTGACTGCCGACCGCATCTTCTTCAAGAGAGTCCGCGGTGCCGCCCACTCCTTTGAGCTGCGCCCGCCCGTGCAGGTATTATTTGTCCTGTAGTGAAGCGCGCACTAGGCATGCGCGAATGGGTGAACCCGGTTCAAATTGGTTCAAATCTGGCCTGGGCCGGACTTCCAAATTAGGTTTGCCGGCCGGGGTCGGGCCGAACCGGGTTCGATCCAGCCCAATCTCTCCATATTAAATTGCTTTATTTCGTGCAATTTAATACAGAGTGCTTCAATCACTCGTGGCCCCTTCCTTTATTCTCCTCCTCTCCCCCCCAACCCCACCCCATCAGGTGGAGCAGCTGAGGAAGCAGGCAGCAGCGGAGGCAGCAGTGCGAGCAGAGCAAGAGGAGATCGTGACCTGCATTCGAGAAGCGCTGAGGCTGCCTCCAGGGCACAAGCCCTTTTCTTTTCCAGGCGAATCATTTCCTAACACCTCATCCCAACCCCATCCCAACGGCAACAGGTGGAGCAACTGAGGAAGCAGGCAGCAGTGAGAGCGGAGCAAGATGCGTTTGTGACCTGCACTCGAGAAGCACTGAGACTGCCCCCCCCCAGGTCAAGAGACCTGGTTCCTACAGGCGAATGTATTCCTTACTCCTCTCCCCTATCCCAACAGGTGGAGCAGCTAAGGAAGCAAGCAGCAGCCGAAGCAGCAGTGCGTGCAGAGCAAGAGGAGTTCGTGACCTGCATTCGAGAAGCGCTGAGGCTGCCTCCAGGGCAGAAACCAACACCAGAGATCTGGAGAGAAAGGATAGAGGGGATGGAGAGAGCAGAGGAGCAAGGAGGGGCAGGAGAGGAGGGTGAAGGAGGAGGAGGGGAGGGGGAAGGGGAGCGGCAGGGGCATGGGATTGGGGGGGGACGTGGCGGCCCGGGATTGGCTGCGAGGATGCAGGCACTGTTGGAGTATGCAGAGGAGAAGCCAGGTGGCAACACGGCATTGGCTGAGGAGGTGGGTTGAACTCATGCCGTGCGAATTCATATCATTCAGGAAGTGGGTATTCCCTCTTCGCTCCTCGCTCCTCCCTCTTTGCTCCTCGCTCCTCCCTCTTTGCTCCTCGCTCCTCTCTCTTTGCTCCTCGCTCCTCTCTCTTCGCTCCTCGCTCCTCCCTCGTCGCTCCTTAGTTCTCCCCCCTGTCATGCCTATGCCCGTGAGGCCCATGCCCATGCCCATGCCCATGCCCATGCCCATGCCCATGCCCATGCCCATGCCCATGCCCATGCCCATGCCCATGCCCGTGCCCATGCCCATGCCCATGCCCATTCCCATGCCCATTCCCATGCCCATGCCATGCCCATGCCCTTGTCCATGCCCATCCATGCCCCTGTCCATCCATGCCCATGCCTTTTGTCTTGCTGCTTCTTTCACCTGCATTTCCCCGTTCGCGATTCGTTCAGTCTCTGAAACCCATCGGCTGTGTGAGAATGCCAGAAACAGCGTGCGACTTGCTCTCGTTCAGACCCATGCCCTCGCCCAATACCCATGCCCTGCTGCCTCCTCTTTCATCGCCCCGTCTGTGTTTCAGTCTCTGCAACTGCTCGGCTGTGTGAGGACCCCAGAAGCAGCCTGCGATCTGCTAGTGCGTGCAGGCGCCCTGCCGCTCCACTCCCACTCCTACATGCATCCCTTTTTGCCCCTCTGCCTGTGCCTTCCCCTCACATCTTACAGTCTCTGCAACTCCTTGGCTGTGTGAGGACCCCGGAAGCAGCCTGCGACCTGCTCGTCCGCGCCGGCGCCCTGCCACTCCACTCCCTCTCCTTCCGCCTCGCTGCCTCCGCCATGCCCGCAACCTTCCCAGCAAGTGTCGCTGATTACTCTGCCAGTCTCGCAGCAAGCCCCCCGCCAGACCCCGACGAGGTACGTTTGATCATACGTGTCGATTTAACACATCTCAGAGTCTATACACCATCGACTCATACGATACAATACAGTAGAAGTGGACAATGGGTTGATGTGCCTGTGCACCAATCTTACCCCCTGCCTGCCTCCCTTCTCCCGTCCTTCCCCCATCAGAACATACGTGTCGATTTAACACATCTCAAAGTCTATACACCATCGACTCGTACAATACAGTGGAAGTGGACGATGGGTTGATTCTCCTTGTTGCACCAACTTCATTTTACTCCCTCCCTCCCCCCCCTCCCCTTCCCCTGCTCCCCCCCCTGCAGAACATACGTGTCGATCTGACACATCTCAAAGTCTACACCATTGATTCATACGATACAGTAGAGGTGGACGATGGGTTGACTGCAGAAACCCTACCAGACGGCCGGATCAAGGTCTGGATCCACGTGGCTGATCCGAGCCGCTGGACGAGGCTCGGGGACAGGCTCGACACGGAGGCTCGGAAACGGGCCACGTCCGCGTATTTCGCCACGGGAGCTGTGCCTATGATTCCGTTTTCCCTTGCTGCTGGTCCCATGAGCCTCTCTCTTCCTCCTACTCCTCCTCCTCCTGCTGCTGCCGCTGCTGGTGGTGCTGCTACTGGAAATTCCGCTTCTGCAGTCGTCTGTGCGGTTACTGTAGCAGTCACACTGAATCCGGATTTTAGGTATGTGGGTGGTGGTTGAGGTGGTCAGAAATACCCTCTATAAGCATTCGTAAAACTGCTTGCGTGCATTTCCCATATCATTATTTCTCCCAATAACCTTTCTTCTTTCCCCTCCTTCCTCCCCACCAATCCCCCTTTTTTTCTGCCCCCGTATCACCCAGCATTGATGACGTGGACATCATGAATTCTTTCATCTGCCCGACCTATCGCCTAGCCTACGACCAGCTGCCCGAAATGCTTGCAATGGCGGGCGAACACGAACCAGAGCTTCTCCTCCTATCAGACGTTGCCGCCGGCCGGTTACGCTACCGCTTGCAAAACAAGGCGGCAAACATTTCCATCCCCGAATCCGACATAAAAGTCTTTTCAGCCACGTCACACTGCCCGGAAATCTCGGTCAGCACGATCGACCAGTCCGACCCGTCCCGAAGGCTCGTGTCCGAAGCTATGGTTCTCTGCGGCGAGGCTGTGGCTAGGTTCGGCGCCGAACGTGACTTGCCGCTGCCGTACCGAGGCCAAGGCCCTCCGGACAGAATGACAGATGAGGATGAGGAGGATATGCAAGCGCTTCCCGAGGGGCCGTGTAGGGCGGTGCATTTGCGATCGTTTATGAGTCGCAGTGAGATTAAGTGCTCCGGGCCGATTCCGCATGCTGGGCTGGGACTGCAGGGATACGTGCAGTTCTCATCACCGATTCGAAGATACTCGGACCTGCTGGCACACTATCAGGTATGTGATGCAGTGTGGCATTTGCTTGCTTGTGAGTCGCAGTGAGATCAAGTGCTCGGGGCCGATTCCGCATGCTGGGTTGGGACTGCAGGGCTACGTGCAGTTCTCGTCGCCCATCAGAAGATACTCTGACCTGCTGGCACACTATCAGGTATGCGGCAATGAGGCATGGTGTGGTGTGGTAGCATGCGCATGCATGTGCCTATCCCGTGCTCCGGGCCAATTCAGCATGCTGGGCTGGGGCTGCAGGGGTATGTGCAGTTCTTGTCGCCGATCAGAAGATACTCCGACCTGCTGGTGCATTATCTCCATGTATGCTCCATGTATGCTGGTTCATATCTCATGGCTCCCTCCCTTTTCCCCTCCCTTTCGCCCCCCCCCCCCTCTCTCTGATCACTTTCCCTTCTGATCCAACCCCCTCTGACCCCGCTGTTTCCGATCCCTCCTCTCTCTGATCTCCCACCTCCGCCCACCCTGCCCGATTCTTGAGTCGACTCAAAAGTCTTCCGATCCCCCCTCTCTAATCTCCCACCTCCGCCCACCTGCCCGATTCCGTCCAGGTGAAGGCCTTGCTACGGGGTGAGCCCCCTCCGTTATCGGTATCCGATCTCGACACAATCGTATCGCACTGCGCCGCTCGGCAACGGGAAGTCCGGCGGGCGGAGGGCGCGGTGGAACGCTACTGGCTGCAGGAGTACCTGCGCCGGCTGCCGGCCAATACCGTGCTGACAGCTGTCATGCTCAAGTGGCTCCGGGCTGACGGCAGCCCGCTGGCCCTTATGCTGGTGGAGGAGGTGAGAGTGGGGGGTTGGGAGGGGTTGGGAAAGGTTGGGAAAGGTTGGGAGGGGTACAGGTGGGTGGGGGGAGAAGCGGGAGAGGTCAAAGGTAGAGAGATTTGGCTCAGAGCGGATGGGAGCCCGCTGGTGCTGATGCTGGTGAAGGTGAGCGTGGGGGGGTTGGGAGGGGTTCTGGGGGGTTGGGAGGGGTACGGATGGCAGCCCGCTGGTGCTGATTCCAGAGAGCTGCTGACAGCATCAGCAAAAGCATCAGCAAAAGCATCAGCAAAAGCAACAGCATCAGCAAAAGCATCAGCGAAAGCATCAGCAAAAGCATCAGCAAAAGCATCAGCATCAGCATCAGCATCAGCAAAAGCATCAGCAAAAGCATCAGCAAAAGCATCAGCAAAAGCATCAGCATCAGCATCAGCATCATCAGCATCAGCATCAGCAAAAGCATCAGCATCAGCATCAGCATCAGCATCAGCGTCAGCGTCAGCGTCAGCGTCAGCGTCAGCATCAGCATCAGCATCAGCATCAGCATCAGCATCAGCGCATCAGCATCAGCATCAGCATCAGCATCAGCGTCAGCGCATCAGCATCAGCATCAGCATCAGCATCAGCGCATCAGCATCAGCATCAGCATCAGCATCAGCATCAGCATCAGCGCATCAGCATCAGCATCAGCGCATCAACATCAGCATCAGCATCAGCGCATCAGCATCAGCATCAGCATCAGCATTTGCATCAGCAAAAGCATCAGCAAAAGCATCAGCATCAGCATCAGCATCAGCATCAGCATCAGCGCATCAGCATCAGCATCAGCATCAGCATCAGCATCAGCATCAGCGTCAGCGTCAGCGTCAGCGTCAGCGTCAGCGTCAGCGTCAGCATCAGCATCAGCATCAGCATCAGCATCAGCATCAGCGCATCAGCATCAGCATCAGCATCAGCATCAGATTAGCATCAGCAAAAGCATCAGCATCAGCATCAGCATCAGCATCAGCATCAGCATCAGCATCAGCGCATCAGCATCAGCATCAGCATCAGCATCAGCATCAGCATCAGCGTCAGCGTCAGCGTCAGCGTCAGCGTCAGCGTCAGCGTCAGCGTCAGCATCAGCATCAGCATCAGCATCAGCATCAGCATCAGCATCAGCGCATCAGCATCAGCATCAGCATCAGCATCAGCATCAGATTAGCATCAGCAAAAGCATCAGCATCAGCATCAGCAAAAGCATCAGCATCAGCATCAGCATCAGCGCATCAGCATCAGCATCAGCATCAGCATCAGCATCAGCATCAGATTAGCATCAGATTAGCATCAGCAAAAGCATCAGCAAAAGCATCAGCATCAGCATCAGCATCAGCATCAGCATCAGCATCAGCATCAGCATCAGCGCATCAGCATCAGCGCATCAGCATCAGCAAAAGCGCATCAGCATCAGCAAAAGCGCATCAGCATCACCATCCGCATCAGCATCAGCATCAGCATCAGCATCAGCATCAGCGCATCAGCATCACCATCCGCATCAGCATCAGCGCATCAGCATCAGCATCAGCGCATCAGCATCAGCATCCGCATCAGCATCAGCATCAGCATCAGCATCAGCAGCGCATCAGCATCAGCATCAGCATCAGCGCATCAGCATCAGCATCAGCATCAGCGCATCACCATCAGCATCAGCATCAGCGCATCACCATCAGCATCAGCATCAGCATCAACGCATCAGCATCAGCATCAGCATCAGCGCATCAGCATCAGCATCAGCATCAGCATCAGCATCAGCGGATCAGGATCAGCATCAGCATCAGCATCAGCATCAGCGCATCAACATCAGCATCAGCATCAGCGCATCAGCATCAGCATCAGCATCAGCATCAGCATCAGCATCAGCATCAGCGCATCAGCATCAGCATCAGCATCAGCATCAGCATCAGCATCAGCATCAGCATCAGCGCATCAGCATCAGCATCAGCATCAGCATCAGCATCAGCATCAGCGCATCAGCATCAGCATCAGCAAAAGCGCTCAGCATCAGCAAAAGCGCATCAGCATCACCATCCGCATCAGCATCAGCATCAGCATCAGCGCATCAGCATCAGCATCAGCATCAGCATCAGCATCAGCATCAGCGCATCAGCGCATCAGCATCAGCATCAGCATCACCATCCACATCAGCGCATCAGCATCAGCATCAGCATCAGCATCAGCATCAGCGCATCAGCATCAGCATCAGCATCAGCATCAGCATCAGCATCAGCGCATCAGCATCAGCATCAGCATCAGTGTTATTGTGGTGTGCTAACCCTTGCTGTCCCATTTGCTATTCCTTTCCCACAGGTGGGGATGGAGACGGTGATGAAGATGCAGCGGGATGTGCGGGTGGGTGATTCAGTGCTGACCCCTGCGCCCTTGTTGTCCCACTCCCATGTGCTTCTTCGTCCCACCCACAGGTGGGGATGGAGACGGTGATGAAGATGCAGCGGGACGTGCGCGTGGGAGGCTCAGTGGATGTGATTATAGCGCATGTGCCAATCCTCCTTCTCTGGTGTCTTCTCCCCCTCGGTTATATTCCATCAGGTGGGGATGGAGACAGTAATGAAGATGCAGCGGGACGTACGAGTGGGTGACTCTGTGGATGTGATTATAGCAGAGGCGGGCCCTGATCTATCCCCTCTTTTCTCCATGTGCTTCTTATTGTGTGTCTTGCTGGCCATCAGGTGGGGATGGAGACAGTAATGAAGATGCAGCGGGACGTACGAGTGGGTGATTCTGTAGATGTGATTATAGCAGAGGCAGACCCTGCAAGGGACAAGCTGCGGCTAGTGGAAGCACCTCCCAGCTACAGGGAAGCTCAGATGAGAAGTATAATGGATGGGGAAGGAGATGAAAGAGGGGTGGAGGATGCTGGGGAGGAGGGAGGAGGGGAAGGGGAGTTGGAAGCTGGGGAGAGGGAGAGCAGTGGAGAGGCATGGGAGGATAGTGTAGACATTGAGGCTCAGCCACTTGCGAAGCTGTGATGATGGTGATGGTAATGGTGATGCTGGTGCTGATATAGGGAAGGACATAGGGAGATCGGGAGGGGGAGAGCAGTGGAGAGGCATGGGAGGATGGCGTGGATGTTGAGGCTCAGCCACTTGCGAAGCTGTGATGATGGTGATAGTCATGGTGATGATGGTGCTGAGCTGATCATCCTGATTCTGATGGCGATAAATCTTGATGTGATTATAGCAGAGAATCATCAGCTTGGCTATAATCTGTCCCTGGGACCTGTGAAGGACAAACGGAGGCTAGTGGAAGGGAAGGGAAGCTCCTCCGAGCTTCAGGAAAGCTCAGATGCTGCGTGCGGGCGTTGAGGTGCAGTGCAGCCGCTTGCGAAGCTATGATTCAACTAATGGTCATGGTGATGCATGCTGGTGGTAGTGATGAGCCTGGTGCTGATGCTGATGGTGGTGCTCCCTGTCAGGGACAAGCCTGGAAGAGCCGCTTTGTGCAGGACAAGCTGAGGCTAGAGATCAGGGAGTTTCCTCGGAGCTTTTTTTAAGCAAATCAAAACGGTGATTTCTTTTTAGGCGACTCGAAAATCACCTCGGTGTGGGACAAGCTGAGGCTAGAGATCATAGAGTCCCCTCAGAGCTTTAGAGAGGCTCAGATGAAGGAGACTGTGTTGAAAGGAATTTTGCTGAATACGGTATAGCCAATGGATTTCTGGTGAGCCGAGGATTCTGGTAGCGCCACCCTGTACTGCAGGGCTGGAGGCATAGGAAAAAATCCGAATGGAAAGGGCATGTCATGATGCTGTGCTGCTGTTAGTGGGCTTTCTGGAGTTATATTTGAGGCACGGCACTGACCTAAGGTTCTTGAATTTTGTTCCCAATAATATTTTGGAACGGAATGGAAAGGGCTTGGTGCTGCTGTTAGTACGTGGCTATGGGCGTTGTGGAGTTGTATTTGAGGCAATGGCCTCTTGGCGAGCTGAGCCTTCTGATAGTGCCCTCCTGTGTTGCATGACTGCAGGCCTCCTGGGAAAAGAACGCAAGGGCATGCCATGATGCTGTGCTGCTCTTTGTACGTGGCCCTGGGCTTTGTGGAGTTGTGGCCTCTTGGTGAGTTGAGCCTTCTGATAGTGCCCTCCTGTATTGCATGACTGCAGGCCTCCTGGGAAAAGAACGCAAGGGCATGCCATGATGCTGTGCTGCTCTCTGTACGTGGCCCTGGGCTTTGTGGAGTTGTGGCCTCTTGGTGAGTTGAGCCTTCTGATAGTGCCCTCCTGTATTGCATGACTGCAGGCCTCCTGGGAAAAGAACGCAAGGGCATGCCATGATGCTGTGCTGCTCTCTGTACGTGGCCCTGGGCTTTGTGGAGTTGTGGCCTCTTGGTGAGTTGAGCCTTCTGATAGTGCCCTCCTGTGTTGCATGACTGCAGGCCTCCTGGGAAAAGAACGGAATGGAAAGGTCATGGCATGATGCTGTGCTGATGTTTAGCTATGGACGTTGTGGAGTTGTATTTGAGGCAATGGCCTCTTGGCGAGCTGAGCCTTCTGATAGTGCCCTCCTTTGTGGAGTTGTATTGGAGGCAATGAGTCTATGACCTGAAGCGTTTTTGTATCCCAAAGATGCGGCAAGGCTCTCGATACTGCTGCTCTTGACAATGCTGCTGCGGCTGGGGATGGGGGAGGAGGGTTGAGGGAGGGGGTAGAGGGGGTGGAAGGGAGGGGAACAGGGGGGAGAGCGGAGAGAATTGAGAAACGAGCAGAGAGGACCTGAGGGTGAGTGGCAAGGAGATGCGATGAAAGCGGGGAGAGAGGAGGGGGCAAAGGGTGAGAGCGGCAAGGAAAGAGTGAAAAACAGAGGGGAGTTGAGGGTTGAGCGGAAGGAGACGATGAAGGAGTAGAGAGAGATGGGCGGGGGGGGGAGGGGGAACGAGGAGACATCGGGAGAAGATGAGAGACACAACCACACCCAACCCCACCCAACCCAACCACACCCAACCACATCCAGCCACACCTAACCACACCCCACCACCCCACCTCTCCCCCCTCCTCCCCCACCCCGCACACTCCCATACTGCTCACCTTTCCTTGATTTACCATCGTGCGCGGTAACGGGGGGGATCGAACAAAGAGCACAGAGGACCGAGGACAGAGGAATGAGTGGCAAGCAGATGAGATGAAAGCGGGGAGGAAGGGAAGGGGAAGAGGGGAAGGGGGGTGGGGAGGGGAACCGAGGGGAGAGTGGGGAAAATTGAGAAACGCGCAAAGAGGGCAAGGCGATGAGGTGAAAGCGGGGAGGAAGGGAAGGGCAAGAGGGGAAGGGGGGTGGGGGGGGGGGGGGGGGAGGAGGGTGGGAAACGAGCGGAGAGCAGAGAGAAATGAGCGAAAAGCAGAGGGGAGTTGAGGGGTGAGGGGTAAGAAGATTAGGAAGAAGCAGAAAGAGATGGGCGAGGGGGAAAGGGGGGACTGGGAGGGGGGGAACGAGGAAAGAGCGGGAAAAGATGAGAAATGGCCTCGCAACCCACCCACACCCCACCACACCCCGCCATTCCCCCTCTCCCCCCTCCTCCCCCACCCCACACCCTCCTTCACAGCTCACATTCTCCTTGTTTTACCCTCTTGCGCGGTAACAATTTGCTCCAATGTGCCTTCTCTTCATCATCCGACCCAACGACATCACTACCGACGGTTATCAGATGCACCCTCCCCTCCATCTGATGCACCGCCTTCCGCCTCTCTCTCTCCATTGGCATGCAGATGTGCAGACGAACACTGACCCTCGGCCACCCAGTAGCTGCTGCTGCTGCTGCTGCTGCTGCTGCTGCTGCTGCTGCTGCTGCTGCTGCTGCTGCTGCTGCTGCTGCTGCTGCTGCTGCTGCTGCTGCTCCTCCTCCTCCTCCTCCTCCTCCTCCTCCTCCTCCTCCTCCTCCTCCTCCTCCTCCTCCTCCTCCTCCTCCTCCTCCTCCTCCTCCTCCTCCTCCTCCTCCTCCTCCTCCTCCTCCTCCTCCTCCTCCTCCTCCTCCTCCTCCTCCTCCTCCTCCTCCTCCTCCTCCTCCTCCTCCTCCTCCTCCTCCTCCTCCTCCTCCTCCTCCTCCTCCTCCTCCTCCTCCTCCTCCTCCTCCTCCTCCTCCTCCTCCTCCTCCTCCTCCTCCTCCTCCTCCTCCTCCTCCTCCTCCTCCTCCTCCTCCTCCTCCTCCTCCTCCTCCTCCTCCTCCTCCTCCTCCTCCTGCGGCCTGAAGATGTGCAGACACCACCGACCCACCATCTGATGCACCCTCCCGCCATGTGATGCCCCATTGGAGTCTCTGGGAACCGCAACAGCACCGCCACGCGTGCTTGATTCTGGTTAATCTAGTAACTAAAAGGCAGGATCGAACCAGTGGTGGGGAAAAGGGGGTGAACGGACGGGGGAGATGCGGGAAGAGCGGAGGGGAGTTGGGGGCAGAGCGGGGAAAGGAGAAGTCAATATAATCAGGCGACGCCTGAGTGTTGGGGGGAAGAGGAGGTGAGTGTTGGAAGGAAGGGAGGGGTGAGAAGGGGAGAGAGGAGGGAAACGGGCGGGGGGGATGGAGGGAGAGACCACGGTTGAATGGTTGGAAAGGGTGGGAGGGAGAGGTGGGGGGAGGGGGAGATGCGGAAAGAGCTGCGGAAAGAGCTTGGGGGGATGCGGAAAGAGCTGGAGAAGATGCGGAAAGAGCGGGGGAAAACGAGGGATGAGTGATGGGGGGAATGCGGTGGGGAGGTAGACAAATAAAGGGAAAGAAGGGGATATGAGGGGTGAACAGGGGGGGGGGAGGTGAGAGGAGAGCGGAGGGGAGACGGGCTTACAGAGGGATGCGGACGAGGGGAGAACAGCGCGAAATCACCTAAGAACAGAGGGGACCTGCGGGGTGAGTGGTAAGGAGACGAGATGAAAGCGGGGAGGAGGGGGGAGGAGTGGGGGGAAGGGGGGAGAGCGGGGATAATTGAGCAACGAGCAGAGCGGACATGAGGGGTGAGCAGTAAGGAGACGAGATGAAAGGAAGAGAGTAGGGGGGAACGAGGAAATAGCGGGGAGAACTGAGTGAAGAACAGAAAGGAGATGAGGGGTGAGCGATAAGAAGACGAGATGAAAGCGGGGAGGGGGGGAAGAGGGGAGGTGGGGTGGGGGAAACGAGGGGAGAGTAGGGCGAATTGAGCAAAGAGCAAAGAGGTGAGCGGTAAGGAGATGAGGAATGAGCGGAAAGAGATGGGGGAGAACCGGGGGAACGAGGAGAGAGCGGGAGAAGATGAGAGTGTCCCTCCCCACCCAACCACTCCCAACCACACCCCGCCACTCCCCCTCTCAGCCCTTCTCCCCCACCCCGCATGCTCCCTTACTGCTCACCTTTCTCTTGTTTTAACGTGTTGCGTGGTAACGGTCCGCTTCAATGTGCACGCGCCTACGGACCGAAGCTATCAACGCGTCCGCATGTTAAGTGCATACGGATCTATGTGCTCGCAGATCGGTACTACTATTGCGTCCGCAAATGGTGCTAGAGCGCCCGCAAACGACGTCATTAGTCCGAATGCAAATAAACGTTATTAATCGGGCCGCAACTTATAAGATGAACAAAAATCGTATCGCTGGCGGTACTTACTTAAAGCTACGTGAAGCGGCGAATATTAATCTATGGCTAATAACCGCGACACTCACTAGCTACGGTGTTAAGACTATAATTGCGTTTAGCTCTGAGAAGTCATGCGGGATGAAAAGCAAGAAGCGACGGTAAAGCTCGTAGCGCTTTGATCTAACGGAGACTGAAGACCTAAAAAGATAGAAACGACGATGACAGGTGTGCATCACTGAAGTGAATGAAAGGTGTGAGGTGCCGGTCGGTAAAGATTGGTTGGTGGATGTGCGACAGTGGACCAAATCACCCTCAATCCCTATTGGCTCTCGTGATTTTTATCTCATCCACCTCTCCATATTTCAGCTGCCCGAACCTCGTTCAGAGGCAGCTCAACTTCGTGACAGCTCAGCAGAAAAATATTATCGACCACTTCTTACAACAATCCGCACCTTACGCATACAAGAACTGCCACGTCAGATTTCTCCTAGAAGCTACTCCTGCCCCAGCCCCAAACCTGCGTAGCCGTCCTAGAAACCTAAAGACCATCCACTAGCAATACGCTCCATGAGTAGACTCGTTTGCAAAGCACAAAGCAAACCGAAAATCAACATCATCTCCAAGCTGAAAACGAAAAGTGTTCAAATTGAATTGCCCTGTACACATTTCAGTTACCACCAGCTTGATCCCACAACGCCAGAAGGTCTCCAGTGTTGACCGCGGCTACAATCATCCACCGCCATCCATTCAACTTTCACCCGTTCTTTAGCACAGAAGGGAGCGGCCGTGTCGCACCTGAGTTCACAGAGCGTGACTTCATATTTGAAGCTGAGTCGCGCTATGCCGCGCGCGGCAGCCTCTGCCCAATGGATTATGCAGGATGGTTAAGCCTAAACTTTATTCACAACAGCCATAAACAGCACTTGAATTTATGAAGTACAAAACATGGATTTATAAAGTAGAAGTCATACAACTCCAAAATGCATCGCAAGAGTGTCTTCCTCCGGAGTGTCTTCCTCCTCAGATCCGCCGCCGTTTGAACATCGCCAAGTGTCGAACCGCTTCCTCCGCGGATCCGCCGCCGCTTGAGCTCCACTTACCGTTGACCCTTCTTGGCCGCTAGAGGCAAATGCCTCTAGCGTTACACCCGAACACCGCGTTGAGGTGAGGGTCATTCGTTCGGGACACCTGCTTGGGAGGGGAGGGAAGATAATTTCGGGAAAAAAGACGATAATTTCGGGTTAGTTTGAGATGAGGCCAAGGAGAATGACGCCTCGGGAAGATCTCTCTTGAGGTTGAGCAGCAGCAGTGAAGACGGCCGTTGAGGAGAGGGAAGAGGAGGAGGAGGTAAACGCAACCCACCCACCCCCACTAGCTCCCTTAATCTAACGCTCCTAATCGACCTAGCTGACACAGTTCCTCCCGAATGCCTGACAAAGGGAGGGGGAACGGGGGAGGGGGGAGGGGGAAGGGGTCAAACTCCAGCGCAGCACCGCCGCTCCTTTGCTCCGATGTCCGCCGATCCGCCGATCCGCCGATCCGCAGCTCCGCTCCATCGTCGCGCCGCCGCTCCTCTGCTCCGACGCACCGCCGTCGCTCCGCGCCACCGTCGTTCCGCCGTCGCTCCTCTGCTTCTCGCGGATCCTGCTACAAGGGCAAATGGAATGAGTTAGTAAGAGTGAAATTTAAAAAACTACTAAAACTGAAACGACACCTCACCTTGAAAGTTGTTGATGCAGTCCCCGCTCCCGCTCCCGTTTCGGATCCTGCTCCTGCTACAAAGGCAAGCAGAGAAATTTAGTACGAAGTAATGAAATAAACATCATAACTGAAACGACACCTCACCATGATGGTAGGTTGCAGCCGCTCCTCCAAGTAATGAAATAAACATCATAACTGAAACGACACCTCACCATGATGGTAGGTTGCAGCCGCTCCTCCGCTCCCGCTCCCGTTTCGGATCCTGCTCCTGCTTCAAGGACAAACCAGAAATGTTACAACTAAAGCAACTAAAACTGAAATGACATCTTACAGTTGTTGATGGCGTGTGCGATGTTGAAATGTTGATGTTGACGTTGACGCCGTCTTGAGTGAGCGCGTCGCCTAGCCATTGAAGAAAACACGAAACTTGACTTACCTTAACGCCGTGTGACGGGATCCTCTCGGTTGACGCGGAGATGCACTCACCTTAACGCCGTGTGACGGGATCCTCTCGGTTGACGCGGAGATGCACTCACCTTAACGCCGTGTGACGGGATCCTCTCGGTTGACGCGGAGATGCACTCACCTTAACGCCGAGTGACGGGATCCTCTCGGTTGACGCGGAGATGCACTCACCTTAACGCCGTGTGACGGGATCCTCTCGGTTGACGCGGAGATGCACTCACCTTAACGCCGTGTGACGGGATCCTCTCGGTTGACGCGGAGATGCACTCACCTTAACGCCGTGTGACGGGATCCTCTCGGTTGACGCGGAGATGCACTTACCATACTTGGTTGAGAAGCTTGAAATGCCTCACGGCGAGAAGGGACATTGCGGTGGGAAGGACCTCGCGGCGAGAGAGAGAAGAGGAACTCGCGGCGAGAGAGAGAAGAGGATCTCGCGGCGAGAGAGAGAAGAGGATCTCGTGGCGAGGCGGCGAGAGAGAGAAGAGGAACTCGCGGCGAGAGACGGCCACACAGGGGGGATCTTGAGATGACGGCCACACGGGGAGATTTTGAGATGACCCATTCGGGAGGGTTCTTGAGATGACGGCCACACAAGGAGGTCTTGAGATGACGGCCACACGGGAGGGGTCTTGAGATGACCCACAAGGGAGGGATCTTGAGATGACGGTCACACAAGGAGGTCTTGAGATGACGGCCACACAAGGAGGTCTTGAGATGACGGCCACACAAGGAGGTCTTGAGATGACGGCCACACAGGGAGGTCTCACGAAGGACGCCTGCAGGGAACACGCTAAACGAATTAGACCAGATTATCCGAAAAGAAGCATAAACGGGAAAATACGAGATTAACCGAGCTTACCTCAGGCGTCTTCCGTTTGGCGGGGAAGCGGCCACAGCGCGCTTCCCAAAGGACGAAGTCTTGAGCCGCCATCAAAGGCGGAATAGTGACCGGAAATGAAGCGGAGGTACCATCCGCCTTTTCATTCTTGCAGCGAATATCTCAAGCTGCAGTGGAGGCTCCAAGTAATCGCGGTGAAGTATCACGCCGCGAATACCACACGGGGAAGTCTTGTGAAGACCACACGGGGGAAGTCTAACGTGAAGCTCCACGAGGGAGAGGCGGTGGGAGAGGCGTCGCCAAGAGCCGCGCCAATCGCCGCTCCTCGGAGGAAGAAACGCCGCGAGTCGTCGTGTGAAGCTCCAAAACGGGCCGCTTCACTAACTGCATGAAGCAACGAGCACGGTCAGATCCGAAAGATAACAAAGCGAAACAGAAAACAACAAAAACGAGAAAAAACGACGACGAAAAAGAGAAGTGCTGCCATGCGACGAAACGCGTCGCCGAGAGCCGCACGAAGCGCCGCGGCGGGAGAAGCGTCGCCAACCACCGAGCGACGGGAGAAGCGTCGCCAACCGCCGAGTGGCGGGAGAAGCGTCGCCAACCACCGAGCGACGGGAGAAGCGTCGCCAACCGCCGAGTGGCGGGAGAAGCGTCGCCAACCGCCGAGCGACGGGAGAAGCGTCGCCAACCGCCGAGCGAAGCGCCGTGCCAATCGCCGTGCGGTGGGAGAGGCGTCGCCGAGAGCCGCGCGCTCCACGGAGGAAGAAACGTCGCGAATCGCCTTGTGAAGCTCCAAAACAGGCCGCTTTACTAACTGCAGGTAACAACGACCACGGTCAGAACCAAATGATAAAAAAGCGAAACATAAAACAACAAAAACGAGAAGAAAACGATGACGACAAAGAGAAGTGCCGCCATGCGATGGGACGCGTCGCCGAGAGCCGCATGAAGCGCCGCGCAACGGGAGAAGCGTCGCCAAGCGCCGTGCGACCGCACCACGGAAGCGCCGTCAATCGCGGTGTGAAGCTCCACCAACGGGCCGCTTTCTTTTACTGCATATAACAACGAACAAGGTTAGCAACTTGGATGTAAAGCGAGGATCATTAAAGCGACGAAGAACAATAAAGCGGGTGCCTTACCAAGTTGAAACCGAAGCTCCATTAGCGATGGTCAAACCATCAAGTTGCCATCGGCGCCGCCGCGTGAAGCGCCAAGGTCGCAATTCGTGAGCGAGAAGAAGGGAACATTCAACTTACCGAGATGAGCGGCGAGATGAGCTGAAGCGAGGTGACGACGTTAAGGCGAGAAGAAAAGAGATAAACCGAACTTACCTCCGCGAGAGTCTTGATTGAAGACCACACGGGAGGAGATTGAAGCCCACACGGGAGGAGATTGAAGGCCACACGGGAGGAGATTGAAGGCCACACGGGAGGAGATTGAAGCCCACACGGGAGGAGATAAAAGCCCACACGGGAGGAGATTGAAGCCCACACGGGAGGAGATTGAAGCCCACACGGGAGGAGATTGAAGCCCACACGGGAAGAGATTGAAGACCACACGGGAGGAGATTGAAGCCCACACGGGAGGAGATTGAAGCCCACACGGGAGGAGATTGAAGCCCACACGGGAGGAGATTGAAGCCCACACGGGAGGAGATTGAAGCCCACACGGGAGGAGATTGAAGCCCACACGGGAGGAGATTGAAGCCCACACGGGAGGAGATTGAAGCCCACACGGGAGGAGATTGAAGCCCACACGGGAGGAGATTGAAGCCCACACGGGAGGAGATTGAAGCCCACACGGGAGGAGATTGAAGCCCACACGGGAGGAGATTGAAGCCCACACGGGAGGAGATTGAAGCCCA